AAAAAATATTATAAGGTATATAGTATATAAAGAAAATATTCTAAAATATAAAATATTTACAATAAATGTGAATATAATTTAAATTATTGTACTCACATCTTAACATCCCTCCTCAAACTCAAGGTGGTTGTGATAAAACCAACTTGAGTTTGGAAAGAAGAGTACGAAAGTGTCCAGGAAAAAGGTCTGATGGTTGATCAACGAAACCAATAAAAACCAAATGAACAGTTCTTTGTGCAACATGATGGCGAAAAAAGTGACAGTCAATCTTAATGTGTTTACTGCGTTCATGGAAGACATCATTATGAGCAATCTGCATGGCACTCTGATTGTCATAATAAAGATTAGTAGCAGGTGGTTGAGAAACACCTATATCTTCTAGTAGCCAATGTAAATTAAGTAACTCTGATGTGGTGTCTCCAAGTGCTTAATATTCAGCCTCTGTGCTAGAACGTGATGGAATTGTCTGCTTCTTGCTATGCTAGGAGATTGAGGAATCACCAAGAAAAAGGCAATATCCAGTGGTGGATTTACGATCATTAGAGTCTCTAACCCAATCGGCGTCAAAGTAAGCACGAAGTTCAGGATATGAACGAGCAAAAAAGTGAAGGCTATGAAACATGATACGTTAAATATATCAAATAATGTGAAGTACTGCTGCATAGTGAGTAGAGCAAGGCGTAGCCATAAACTGGCTAACAATATGAATTGCAAAAGCTATGTCTGGTCATGTTGTAGTGAGATAAATCAGACTTCCAACCAACTATCTGTAGCGAGTAGGATCAACTAATGAAGAACCATCCATGGATGTAAGTCAAACGTTTGACTCAACAGGAGTAGATGCAATCTTACTATCAGTGAGTCCAGCTTTAGATATAAGATTAGAATCATATTTTGTTTGAGAGAGAAAATAATCACATTAGAAGAGGTGACCTCAAGTCCTGAGAAATAGCTCAAAACACCAAGATCTTTTATTTCAAACTTATGACTGAGAAGTTGCTTAAGATCGTGAATACTTGAAATCTCATCCCCAATAATGATCATATCATCAACATAAAGAAGTAGGAGAACCATACCATGATTAGTCTTACGTATGAACAGCGCAGTATCATGAGGACTAGAAGTAAAACCAAATTCACTGATGGTGGTACTAAACTCGGCAAACTAGGCTCAAAGTGCTTGTTTCAAACTATATAGAGCTTGCTTCAATCGACAAACTTTGTTTGGAGGATGCTCAAGTCCAAGAGGTGGTTTCATGTAAACTTCCTCTACAAGTCACCATTTAGAAAGGCATTTTTCACATCCATCTGAAACAATTTCCCCCTTTTAGCAACAACAATAGCAATCAAACTACGAACTGAAGTAAGACGAGCAACAAGTGCAAAGGTTTCCTCATAATCAATCCCATATTCCTGAGTAAATCCTTTAGCAACTAAATGACCCTTGTAACGCTCCACAAAACCATCAGATCGAGTTTTAATCTTGTACACCCATTTACAACTTACTAGAGGCTTTCCAACAGGAAGATCAACTACATCCCATGTACAAGTTTTGTCAAGAGCTTGTAATTCATCTTGCATAGCTTGCCACCAAAGAGGGTTAGAATAGGCCTCTTGGTAGGATTAAGGCTCATGCAAGGAGGTAATAGCAAGAAAACAATGATAATCACAAAGATAGCTAGGAGGATTTCTTACCTAAGTAGGATGACTTGAAGGTGGATTAAGAGTCTCATTTTCAGGCTCAATATCAACAGGGTTAGATCCAACAGGTGATACAGAAAAGGTAAGGGAAGAAGACTCAACATTGTCTAATGCATTACCAACAGGCATAACATCTTTTATAGAACTAGGTGGAGCATGTGGAAAGGCATCATAGAGCTCATCAAATGTATCTGCATCAAAGTCACTAGGAAAAAGCTCAATAGAAGGGTTAGTAAAAAGTAGAGGTTATCTAAAAGATGACACCTGAAAGTTTGATAATGTGGAAAACATAGTATGTTCCCAAAAGACAACATAACGCGAAACTCGAAGTTTTTGTGACACAGGATTCCAACAACAATATCCTTTATGTGTAATCCCATAACCCAAAAAATAACATAATCGAGTTTTAGGCTCTAGCTTATTATGTTCATGAGGTGGAAGAAGAACAAAATAAGCACAACCAAAAACCTTAAGAAGATCATAGGCAAGAGGAATACCATGCAAACATTCGTATGGAGACTTATTATTGATGATCGATGATGGAATCTAATTACTGAGATAAATAGTTGTAAGAGCAGCTTCACCCCAAAATCACTCTAGACAAGAAGACGAAATTAGCAAAGCACGAATAGAATCAAGGATGTGTCTATGTTTACGTTCAACTCGCCCATTTTGTTCAAAAGTGTAAGGACTAGATTGTTGTGTTAGTGTACCCTATTTTTTCAAAAATGATTGAAGTTTAGTACTAAGATATTCAGTGGCATTGTCAGTTCTCAAAATTTTGATAATTTTAGAGAACTAGGTTTTGACCATGGTAGCAAAATCAATATAAATTTGTGGTAACTTAGAGTAATTTTTCATAAGATATATTCAAGTAAAACGAGTATAATCATCAATAAATAACACAAAGTACCTAGATCCCCTCATGGTAGGTGTCAAAGATGAACCCCAAACATCATAATGTGCAAGATCAAAAGAAGTAGTAGAAAGAGAATGACTACTAATAAACGATAAAGCTAGTTGTTTTACAAATTGACATGACACACAATGCAATGATTCATTCGAAATAGATCCTAATAAACCACAAGAGATAAGAGGACAGAGTTTATCGATTGAGGTTTGTCCGAGCCATGAGTGCCATAAATGAAGAAAAGAACTATTAGTAACAACACAGGCTTGGAAGATTTGTTGATATGAAATTTTCAAAGACTCTAATTCAGCAGTGCAAAGTAGGGTTTGGATGAATCGTTCATTTGGAAATGATGGTGTATCCATTTTATGATGAGGTATATGTAGATAATTGAGCTCAAACAGATGCCCCACCTTGCGACCAGTTCTAAGAAGTTGTCCTGTCTATGGATTCTACACATGACAACCATAAGTAGAGAAAGTTATTTCAAGACCAAGATCACATAACTAACCAATAGATAAAAGATTATAACTAAGTTTTGGAACCAAGAAAGCGTTTGGTAAAATCAATGAATTTGTAGAAATATTGTCGATGTAACTAGCATTCATAGGGGAGCCATCAATAGAATAAATGTCAAGAAAACAATTATTTGGTGACATTGAAGAGAAATAACCAATAGTTGAAAACATGTGATTACAACAACCAGAATCAAAATACCAAGGTTTAGTACCTAGAGCAACAGATAACGCAGTAGGGGCATTAAGAAGATTTAATATCACCTATTTTAGATAATCATGGTTGATAATAGGTTGGTCTATTGCCTTTTTAGCAATAGACCAACCTATTATCAACCATAGCAGCAGGATGAGTCACAGTTCTTTCAAAACTCGCTTTAGAATTAATAGAACTTACAATACTGAAAAAATCTCCAAAAATATGAAGAAATAGATGCTAAAATCAAAATTACAACTCAACAACATACCTTAGAAAAGGCATTAGAATTGAGAATAAACAATCCAAACTGTAGGAGAAGAGAACTCAACGACAAAGTTTCAAATTTATAATAGATTTGAGAATCCAACTCAGTAACCAAGTAGTGATAAAAGAAAAACCAGGAGTTTACTGTTTTGATACCATGTTAGAAATTGAAAAGAAGGAGAAGTATTTGAAGAAATGTTTATTGCTTTCTTGAATAATACTGTCTATACAATAATCTATATATAGGTGTTTACAAAAAGAATATTCTAAAGTATAAAATATATAAAGAGAATATTTTAAAGTATAAAATATTTACAATAAGTGCGAATATAATCTAAATTATTATGTTCACATCTTAACACATGAGAACCCAAAA